TTTTTTTTTTTTTTTTTTTTTTTTGGTGGTTTCCAATTTCTTTGGAGTAAATAATGTTATCTATTTTGGGTGTTTTCCAATTTCTTTGGAGTAAACAATGTTGTCCTTTTTTCTTTTTCTTTTTGTTTTGTTTTGTGGATTTTCAGTGTACTTTTGGTTGTTTCTGTATTTTTGAACCATTTTTTAAAAATTAGAAATTAGATTGAAACTTGACTGGAATCACCTTCGATCTTCGATCTCACTCTGGTCAACTACACCTTCGAAGTTGAAGCCATGAGAGCTGATAAGCTCCCCTCCGTCTTCACCATCGGCCTCCGCTCCGAAGACATGGATAGCCTCCTCAAGAATGCCAAGTTCTCTATTGAGGACGAGACCCGAGTGATTTAGGCTTCCATGACCACGGAAGGCATTTTAGAAGGCACCAAACAGTTTAAGCACGACGTGTTTGGAAAGATTTAGATGGAACTTGATCAATTTGGGGTTGTGGTTTATAACAGTTGATGGACGCGACAGGGCATGAATACTTCTCGTATTTGGGCCAGAAGCCGCCGAGGCTGAGATGAAAGGGGCAATTGGGGCCAAATCTAGCTAAGGGCAGACGCTCAAAATGCGGCTAAAATCGACATAGGTTTAATGGGTTTTGCCTTGAAATTTGGAAAAAATACTTAACATTCATGGTGCATCGACACGACATAGGTTTTAGCTATCTAAAATTCATACGCTTCAACTATCTAGTTTTCATATCCTTATAAAAAAATGTTTTGTTTTCCTTTCCGACTAAGGTAGGATCTCACAATCCGCCTCTTTTGGAGTCCAACGTTCTCGTTCATCTCTCTAATCGATGTGGAATCTCACAATCCACCTTCCTTCTAGGCCCAACGTCCTCGCTGACACACCGCCTAGTGTCTAAGTCCAGTGTTTTCACTGACAGACCATCCAATATTTGTTTTTCTGATACCATTTGTAACAACCTAAGTCCACTGCCAACGGATATTGTCCTTTTTTTAGCTTTTCCTTTCAGACTTCCCCTCATGATGTTTAAAACGGATCTACTAGAGATAGATTTTCACACCCTTATAAATAATGTTTCGTTCTTCTCTCCAACCAGTGTAGGATTTATTTTAGCACTAGAACCAACCAACCAACGTTTAACACAAATCTCAAAAATTTGCCTATGCCTTTGCCTTTGCCAATCAAATACAAGATAATCAATACATAACCAAAAAAAACGTATTTATATTGTGTAAGAATCGAATCAAGTACCGGGTGTTCATACTTTTCAAGCACGTGTAACAGAACTTTCTTAAGATCCCCAGTTCGGAATGTTTGCTGTGGCTTCATTAATCATTTTCACAAGTGTCACCTGCAAACACATTAATGAAATATGTTCTCAGTTATCACTACAATTTTTGAACTACTTCATCACAATTCGTTTTCTGTACCAAATTAACCATAGTAGCTGTATTTCTGACATGGATACACAACATTCCACATCATCTTACATGCAACAGATATCGGACACGTACCACACTTTCGGGGACGCCAGGTGGCGGCAGAGGAAGGTTTCTAGGGGGGACGACATTATCATATGATCTTTTGTCAAACCTCCATTCTCCAATCTTCCCGGGAGTCGGTTGTCCCTGTTTTCCAGAGATATAGGAAGTAGCCACAGACAGAAGAAGGTAAGCCATGCTGTATAATAGATGAGATAGACACATAATCAACATGTGTTTATTACCTTCATATTGAAATCACATCCATAAGTATAATGAATTATGAACTTCTTGCCCACTTCTGTATCCCACGGTGGCTGCAAAGTGCCAACGTCCAATAAGTTAATTAATAGAGAAAATCAGAACGAACAGTCAAATCTATTAGGAATCACGACTCTCCACAATAATATGATATTGTCCACTTTGAGCATAAGATCTCATAGCTTTGCTTTTAGTGTCCCAAAAGGCCTCATACCAATAGAGGTTTATTCCTTACTTATAAACCTATGATCATCTTCTTAATTAATTAGCCAACACGGGACTCCCTCTCATTTTCCATGTTCACACCCTATTATGCCTATGGAATTCGATAAATTTTCATGTGGTCTGGTAAAAAGAAAACATAAGATAATAAGATTTTCACAAAGATTTCAAATGGTTGGTTGATTATGTTTCGGTGAACAAAGATATCAAACAGCAATGAGAATGGATACAAATGCTATGTTGCATATAAACCAGAATGATAAAAAGAAATAGAGATTCTCTTAGAACCTGAAGCATGAAGTCCTTATATAAGATGTTACCAACATCATGCAGAGCGGAAGCAACAGCATAAGCATACATTTCAAGAACCCAACCAAACGCCTTATCTGTCTCAGGATCCTTCTTCATTGCCAAGGAAATATTCATCCAAGTGGGAGCAATTTTCTTGAGAGACTCCTACCAAAATTTATTCGAAAAAGAAAAGGGTGAGAAGAATCCTAATGTCATTATCATTTAGAAGCATGATGTCGCATACCCTTTGAACAATAACAGGTGAATTCCCAATTGGATCAATGTTGGTAATCGGACCCTTGTCCTCCGGGAAGAATTTCCTTAGTTGACTCTCATACTTCTTTGGCTCGATGTAAAAGAATGGAAATGCAGCCCCAAGCCCATCCTTTGACAAATTTGGTATAGGCTTCACAATGATATGATCTGGTTCTGACATGAGTATATAACTGCAAAAGATGAACTCAAAAGTAAAACATAATTGATCCATCAATCCATTAGAACAGGAAAAAAGAAATAATAAAAAGTTCTTCATACTCTTCCTTGATGTCCGCTTGTTGAAGCCATTGCACAAACGCCCATGGTCTGTTGAGAACTATGTAGCCCTGTAACATTTTCAAACCACAGAAAGTAATTTCAGCTCCATGAAAATGAAACCCATTTGACATCATTTCATTATCCAAGGAGTTTAGAAACACAGAAATTCAATGCGAGCGTTTGCTGTCCTAAGGGGAATTCTTTCAAACAGGTGCTGTGCATAAACAAAATCATATATAGCATGTCACATAAATCACAGATAAACACTTCCCCTGAGATCTTCCAAACTTTACAGAACCAGAAACATAGAAATTAGTAGTAATCAAGCATAGAAATCAGTACCCGATCCATTCCCGCCGGGAGAGGCTGAGCAACAAAGGTGGGAATCTCGTCCATATACTTGTCGGGCTTCCCCGAGTGCAAGATCCTGGTGAAACCACCCATCTCAGAATTAGGTCCGTCTTTGAACTTCTTGAACCAATAGTACATAATCCGACACTGCCAAGTATTATACACCGAATCGGAGGCAGTGACGGCCGTATGGAACAGTCGCTTGGAGGAAGGAGTTTTGGATTTAGCCATCGGCATCTTAATCACAGGGTCCACAGTAATGGAAGATGAAGATCTTGATGGACCAGGAAGCTCTTGCTTGAGAGGGACATTAGCAGAGATGATGATGTTGTAGGTAATTAGAGCAACAGAGAAGGTTACCAGAACCAAGAAGAACAAATTCCCGCAACCCATTTCAGCCTTCGTCTCCAACCTTCTGGGATTCCGCTCAAATGGATTTGCCCATCTAAATCCCCCTCAAATCGGAGACAGAATGGAGGGAGGAAGCAGAAGTTTCAGAAAAAAGTCGTCGCCTCCAGAGAGGAGTTATTCAAGAAATTGGCTGACAAAAGTGGAGAGTTATTTTATTATTATTATTATTCTTTTCTTATGAGTTCAACGATAAATAGGCCATGGATTGGGTTTCTGACTCGATCCATTCTCTTGGGCCTTGACCCAACCAAGGTGTTGGGCTAACACTTGGTTATCATTGGGCCTCCGTGTTCTAAGCCCCTAATCCTATCTAACCGAATGTATGTCTGTGTCACAGTCATATTTGTCAAAAACATGTTATCTGTAGCTACATGTCGGATGTTCCAGTCATACTTTTATAGGACGTGTTCTAAGCCCCTTTTACGTACTTTCGTCTTAAATAGGCCTTTACCATTTCATGTTGTGTCAAACCGAGGTGTATGACCCTCCACCAAAAATCATGTCTCACCCACCAAGGCTAAAATGTCTCAAAATATATTACAGAAAATTATATGCTATTTAAGTTGTAGTGCGTATTTCTTTGCTTATAGTCATATAAAGTTATTTTTTTCAAATATATTTTCTCTCTTACGTTTTCTAAAATATTTCTCGCAAACGTAACTTAAGGTCGAAACACACGTTAACGCTGTTGCAACGTCCAAACTTCTCACGGCTGACTTATTTGCTAGGTTTGAACAAGTGTCGTA